GTCCCCTCGCTGGGTGGATGCGTTTCCTTGGGCACCGGAGCTGCGTGTGCTGCTCCCTCCGCTGGCAGCAGCTCCTTCAGAAGGATATTCAAAGAGCCTTGCCAAAGGGGAACCTGAAAGAGGCTTTGAGATTCAATGATGCTCCAAGAGCTTTATAACTTAATCTTTTTGCCATATAAGTGCCTGGGACCAGCCCTTTCAGCAGCCTGCATCTCTGGTGAGGTTTATTTTTCCCATACGGCTGGCCCAAACGCACACGAGCCATGGTAAAGTCCACATCACCTCCTCAATCTGATGCTGCAGATCCCCGCTGCTGTGGGACCAGTAACTGCCTTCCTCCCCAGCCTGGGGTTTGGGAAGTGCTGCCTCCACACTCTTCTTCTGAATGGTTTCTGCCTGGCCTGGATTGGGATGGGCTTCAAACCTGGAATTGGCTCTCCCCTCCTTATCTGCTGGCCCTTCTCCTGCTGGGCTCGCCTTGCAGCCCCCCTCCCTAATATCAGCCCTAAAACCTGCTGACCCCTCTTTCTCCCCTGGCAGGATAAGAGATTTGCCTCAGGGAAATACCAAGATGTTTATGCGGAGCTGAATCACATTAAGGTGCGTTCGGAGCGAGAGATCGAGCAACTGAAGGAGCACCTGCGCCTGGCCATGGCGGCTCTGCAGGAGAAGGAGTCGCTCTGCAACAGCCTTGGCGAGTAACGGTGAGCACCGGGGATGCGGTGAAGTCCCCTGCGGGTGCAGGTGGCTGAGACTGGCTGCCCTGCTTTGACATGAGGATGGGAGCTGCTGGTTCCTCCCACTCCACTCAGTGCTGAAACTTTAGGCTTAAACTCTTCCTTCTCTGCTTCTTGCATCCTCTCATCCTGCACCCTTGGCCCTCCTGTTGTCCTTGGTGTTCTCCCAAGGTCCCCAGCCCCTTTCTCTTGATGTTCCTGCGGCCAGTACCAAGTGCTGCTCAACCAGGCTGGAGGTGGGAGCCGGCCACATCCTGGCCTTCACCCCATGGCTTGGATGACAGCGTGGGGGTAGTTATGTGCTACCTACATAGGTGACACTTTTGCTGCGTTCGCCTTTGAAGCGGTTTCCCTATCGCAGCATGGAAATTTTAGGTCTGCATCAAAGGAGCCCTGATTAGACCCAACCTTCCTCCTCCCACACTCACCTACAGGCATCCCTGCCGTGGCTGAGGAGGAAAGCAGGGTGACGGGAATGAGGGTATCTTGTTGTCCGGAGTGCTTGGATGCGGTGGCCATCGGGATTGGGGTCACCCTGCTCCGTCAGCGCTTGCTGGTGGGTGCCGAGATGGGTCTGTAGCAGGGCACCAGACGGCCATCTCCCGGGGGAGCAGAAGGGACAACATTTCTGCGCTCAGTGGAGTCTTTCTAAACCATTTCTGGTTTTGTCTTTCTCTAGGTCTGCTCTTCGTTTGTTACTCTGTTCTTGTTTTGTATTTGCTCCATTCCTCACTTGCGAGGAGGGGGAGGTTGAATCCCATCCGTTATCGCCTTGGTGAGGAATCCTACACACCCCCTAACCTCCTCCCTCCCCTCCCAAAGCTTTTTTGATGAAGCCCTTTTGCCTGTGTACCTGAGCACGTTGTTTGGACTGGCTCCTTACATGCACCTTCTTCAGGATTTTATATGTGAAAATTATATTTTATAGAGGAATTTTTTTCCCCCGGGAAGAAGGGGAAGAGGAGGGGGAAAACTTTTGCTACATCACCAGCATTTTCTAACCTGAAAAAGAGAATCTGGTTTTCTCCCCCTCCCCGGTCCTGTTACTCCCGGCCACACAGCTGTGTATTCCCTCTTCCAAATGTCTCCACGACCCCCTGGGGTGTACGGTGAGGACCACGGTCCCTCCCTGTGCCACTACCAGGAACCCACGGAGAAGACATGCAAGCCATAGGAGGGAGCTGCCGGGGCAGTCTGCCATGGATGTGCTTGCCTGGGATTTTTGAAAAAGGAGACCTTGGCAAGAGTCTGCATGATCGAGCTCTCTCTGTGACTGTCCTTTGGCTCCTTCAAGAACCCAAATTGGCAGGAGCCCAGAGCCACAGGGCTTCTCCTTTGCAGGGAAGAGGAGCTGTGAGGCTGCTACTGCACCCCCCGGAGCCAACCCCCCTCCTCCAAGGTGGCAGCTGCTGCTGCTGCTCTGCTGCACCCTTCAACTTTTAACTTAATAAAATCTTCCCCTTTCACTGAAAAAAAAAAAATGTGTTCCTCGAGGGGAAGGCTTGTCACATGGCTCTGACCCAGTGTGGTGGTGGGGAGGTCATTTTTCCAGGTTCCTGTGTGATTTTTGGGGCATCCTGACCCATTGCTTCCTTCCGTCTGGCCGGAGAGCGAGAGGAGCCCTGCAGTGCCGTTATCCAGCTGTCTTGCTCCACCTTTGGGTTTGGAGGGGGGAAATAATCTGCTTCACCGCACCGCTCTGAAAATCCCCCGTGGACCCTCAGCCCCACGGAGGAAGGGCTGAGCCTGGGCTGTGTTCGTAAATCCAGTATGGGAGGGGGCAGATGGCACTGCAAATTACTGGCAGAGTAAGCAGATCCTGGGGATCTGGAACGCTTTCCTCCTGGTTTTGAGTGAATCACATTGCTTTTTTGGCAGGATGGAGGACCTCAGGGTGACTGCTCCTCGTTCAGCCCCATCCCAATGTAAACGTGAGCTGTTGCTGTGCGGAGAGGCTGCTGGCAATTATGGAAGAGCCGTAATTGCGGGCTCGTGCCAGGGCTGGAGGTGACAGCTGAAAAGGGGAAGACGAAGGGAGTCGAGGAGGACCCTTGGATGGAGATGACGGATGCATGGGCTGGGAGGCCGGTGTACTGCGAGATGTGGGGATGGGAACAGGGTGTAAGGACGTGGTGGCAGTCGCAGTGAGGAGTTAGGGCAGCGTGTGATAACCTCGCCGTGGTACCGGCAGCGCCTGGGGGCAGGGGGGGTACGCGCAAATACAGACCTGCTCCTCCATGAGCACGGCTGTGCCAACTGCTTTCCCTAGGTAAGGCAAACGGCTTCGTAAGCCACAAATTCCAGTAAAACTGGGTTGTAGGCTTTAGTCACGTGTGCGAGGCCCTTGGGCAACCCAGCGGATGGTGCAAGAGGGCAGGTATGGAGTTTGGCAGCCAGCTGGTACCCATTGCACCCGGGCAGAGCCTGGGCTTGCTCTGGCTGATGCTTGGCCTCCTGCCTCTGGCCTGGAAACCTTCCCGTCCCTGCGCTGCCCAAGGTCCGGGCTTTTCCCTCTGCCTCCCGGCAGGACCTAGCTGTTACCATTGAATTTAGGATGGGGCGAGCATTCAGCGTGCTGGGGGCTGAGATGGGAAGGAAGGCAAGAGGCGATGGAGCAGCTCAGGCAACTGCTTCCAGGCTGCCAGGTGTGGTCTTGCCATGGGAAATTGGTAGGGACCAAGAAAGGAGGGGAAAAAAAAGGGGGTTCAGGGCACGGTGTTGCAGGCTGGGGGGGGGGGGGCATCATTTTTAGAAAAAAACACTCTTCAACCAACCCTCTGGAT